TTTTAAGATCAAATATCTAAGGAAAGTCTATAAACCAATTGCAAGATAACAGCAAACAAAGATTGGGTCTGCAGAGACAGTACAAAGGTCAAGCTTGTGCCGTGTGTGTGTGTGTGTGTGTGTGTGTGTGTGTGTGTGTGTGTGAGTGTGTGTGTGAGTGTAGCTGACCCCGGTTTGACCCCTGGCACCCCTTAAGACCTGAGCACTTCTAGGTGTGATCCTGAGCACAGAGCCAGGAGAAAGCCCTAAGCACCCCTGGGTGTGGCCCAGTCATACCCCCAAAGAAAACAACACCGATTGGTCTTCATTCCCCACCCTGGCAGAGCACTTCGAAACCCTTGCCAAGGAGTTAGAGCGAAGAACACCTTTTGTTCTATTGAGGTGAGTCAGGGTGGACCCGGGGGGGCTGGTCGATGGAAGACTGGACTGTTCTGTCCCACCCTTCATTCTCCAGGGAAGGGCAAGAGGAGGGGAAGGGAGCTAGTGACTGACTACGCCAACAAGGAAGCTTCAGAGAATCCTGATAGAACAAGGTTCAAAGGCCTGCTGGGTGGGGGACACAGCCACCCCAAGCCCCAGGGTCAGAGTTCTGCCTCTGGAACTCTCCCTCTTCAGCTGTGGCCCTGGTCATACTCACAGTCAGCAGCTGAGTGTGACCCTGTTCTTGAGTTTTGTGATCCGTTCTAGTGAACGAACTGGATGCTGGGTGGGAAGAGAGTTCATGGGCGTCTCTGGCTCTTAGCCAAGTTCAACAGACTTTGTGAGTAGGAAACTTGGAGACATACAATTGGCATCTGAAGGGGGTGGGGTGAGCAGTCTTGTAGGACTGAACCCCGACTTTATCTCCAGAGACTATTACAATTGAGAACTGGGTTAAACTATAATCTGCTCCTCTGGTTCACGTGGGGAGAAATTGTTAGGAATGGGGGAAAATCCCTAGGGTTTGGTAAGAGGAAGTGTCGGTGACAAAACATTCCGTGTAAGGGGCCAGAGTGATGGGACAGCAGGGAGGGCGCCTGCCTTTTCGCATCCAACCTGAGTTTCAGCCCCAGCACCCCATATGGTCCCCAAAGCTCTGTCAGGAGTGATCCCTGAGTGAACAGCCCTGAGCACTGTCAGTTGTGGTCCAAAAACCAAAAGGAAAAAAAAAAGGCCAAAAATCAAAAATGGGGTTTTCCTGAAACCACATGTTATTTCCCAAACATTTTCCAACAGTTACCTAGCAGGCCCGTTCAAACCCAAGCATATAGAGAGGTGAGACAGGTAAGCCCCAACCCTGAAGCTCCGCAACTCATGCAGGCATACGGATTTGGGCCTGGAATGTGTCCCCAGTGAAGACACTGACAGATTAAGTCATGAGGCCTAATGACTTAGATCCTGCGGTCTGAAACTTGGCCACCAACATGTTGTTACAGAAATTAATTATCCTGGTGCCATCCACTCTCAATCCTGCTCATTCCAGAGCCTCTGGAATGAGAAACCCCGGCAGAAAAGGCCACACACGTATTTCTATTCCAAGCAAGTCTCCTGTCAACAGGCAGAGCACTGTTACTCACCTTTCTGGAACATCTTCATCCTTCCCCGTGTGAGAATTTTCCTTAGAGAAAAGGTGTGGGAGGTCAGGCGAGCACTCGAACAGTTAGCTTCTCCAAGCTGGAGTTTCGAGGCCACAGAGCTCAGAATGGGGACAGGGGAGAGAGGAAATCATTTCGCTTGGCAAAGTTGGAATTCTAAATCAAGCATGAGAAAAGAGGTCGAGGGCCCCGAGCTAACACTGCTGGGTCAGAGTCTTCTGGAGACTCAGCCCAGAGCGGTGATGCTGGGCTCCGAGGAATAGGGGAGCCTGGGGGCTAGCAGAGGCCCCCCAAAATAGCAGCACACATCTGAAAACTGATTAAAGAGACTCAGCTCCCCACAACAGGGGAGATGACCCTCCACAGTCAAATTAAGCAGCTTTAAAACCTCTCATGTCACAGCATTTTCCCACAGTTAAATTCTGGAATGTACCCTATGATGGGTTTTTTTTTCTCTTCCCAGTGTGGTTTTTTTTTTCTTTTTTTTTGGGACACACCCAGCAATGCACAGGGATCACTCCTGGCTCTGTGCTAAGGAATTACCCCTGGCAGTGCTCAGGGGACCATATGGGATGCTGGGAATCGAACCCGGGTCGGCTGTGTGCAAGGCAAATGCCCTACCTGCTGTGCTATCGCTCCAGCCACACCTGGTGGTGCTCAGGGCTTACTCCTGGCTCTGTGCACAGACATCACTCCTGACGGTGCTTGGGGGACCATATGTGATGCCGGGGATCAATCTCGGGCTGGCCACGGGCAAGGCAAGAGTCCTCCCCACAGCACCATCGTTCCGGACCCTGGAAGGGTCTTATGAGACCATCGGTGTGTGCTTTTTAGAAACCATGCATAAAACACTCCAAAGCGTCAGTGGTTGGAACTAGCACTTCCTCCAAGTATTTGTGTTCTGTTCAGTGTGAGAGCCTACCCCCAGCACAGTGCTCGAGGTGGATCCCAATGGTGCTTCAGAGACCCTGTGGTACTGGGGAACGACCCCCAGGGTCCCACATGAGGAATCTGCACGAAGCCTGTTGAGCTCTCTTCAGCCCAGGGTTCTTTGTCTTTTTTGGGGGGGAGTAGCCTGGTTCTGTGCTCAAAGGTCACACCTGGAGGTGCCTTTGGAGGACGATATGAGGTGCAGGGGATGGAACCAGGGTGGGCTGCATGCAAGGCAAATGCCTCACCTCCCGCACCATCTCTCTGGCATAGGATTTTCTTTTTCCAAGGGGCTATACCCATGGTGCTGATGCAGGGATGGGCGTCTAGGCCTCTCCCCTGGGCCTATCTGTGGTGTGTGTGTGTGTGTGTGTGTGTGTGTGTGTGTGTGTGTGTGTGTTTGGGGGGGTATCAGAGCCACTCAGTTGTGCTGGAAGAGATGATCTGTTGTACGGAGCCCCAGACTGGGGGTCTTGTGCGTGCCAGGCATGTGGTCACGCTGGAACTACAGCTCTCCGCGCCCCGAGCAGAGGCCGTGTGTGTGCTGCTGTTCAGGGCGGGGCTGGGAGGCCCGGCTGTTGTCTGGGCGGCTCCGAGCCCGGGCTGGCAGTGGTTCCCACGCTGGGCTGCTCCAGGCTTGCAGGAGGCTGTTGATGAGGTTGCCTGTCTGGGCAGTTCTCAACACGCAGCGCCAGAAGACACACAGCTTTCAGGGCAGAGCCCCGCCGAGGCCCGGCTCAGGGCCGGCTGAACCAGCGGCAGGAGCAGGGGCTGGGTCAGGGCAGCGATCAGCCTCGCTCTTCCCCGAGCTGACGAGGCCGCCAGAGCCGGTCCTTGCTCTCCCGAGAGATCCCCCGTTGTCAGGCTGGGTCCGATGCTGGCACACACATGCACACAGAATACCGTAGCCTCCTGATTTTCTCTGGGACACTTTCCCATCTCCAAGAGGAATTTTGGCTCACCCTGCCGTGCTCCGGGCCCAGGGCTCGCAGCCCCTCTCTGTGCTCAGCAACCGGCTCTGACCTCTCTTCGTGGCCCCTTGGGTCACCCCCTTTCTCACCCTCTAAGGAGCAGCAGGATCTCAAGGCAGCCCTGCCGGCGAGCCTGCTGGAGAGGACAGAGCGAAGCCCCTCCAGAAATGCACGATTCCCCAGAACATTCCGAGGCCTGGCTGGGAACTGGTGCAGGAGCAGAGGGGAAGAAAAATCCCAATTTTTTATTCTTTAAATTAAAGGAGAAAGGGGGCTAGGAAGGAAACAAGGTCAGAGATTTGGGGGGACAGCATTTCTAGTTTCTTTGGTGCAAAAAGTATTTCTATCAATTCAGTGATTGCCCCCGCCCCCAGCACCTCCCCACTGAGCCCTGCAGTGAACTGCATTCTGGGCAGAAAGGAAAAAAACAAACTGGACTAATTGAAGAATGCCCAGAAACAATCTCAAGTCCCTCCCTTAAAGGGCCACAGCCAGCACCTGTAACGTGCTCTTCATTCTTGCAAAGGACTCAGAGACACTCACCCCTGGGTGCTGATGCATAAATCTCGAAGCAGTCACAGGGCCTATTGCCTGGACCGGCTCTTCACCGGCTGAGAAGGACAGTGAGAAACGTCCAGAGAGCTCACGAGGTTGCCGGCCCAGGGAGGGTCCACACTGCAGTTAGGGAGACTGAGAGCACAGAGCTAAAGGACACACTCTGGGCCAACGGGACACTTGCCTTGCATGTGTGAGTGTGAGGTCCGAGGTTCTATCCCTGGCACTACAAAAAGAGGGCTACACACACACACACACACACACACACACACACACAATTTGCAGCAATATGGATGCACACAACGGAGTTTCAGAGCAGGGGAGGGGCTGAGTGCTGGGAGCTGCGGCGGGGGGGGGGAGGCTGGTATATTGGCAAGGCAGTGTTCAAGTCAAGTACATGAGAACCCATCATCAACAATATTGTAAATCACAGAACCTCAGTTCACAAATACAAATATAGGGGCTGGAGCACTAGCACAGCGGGTAGGGCGTTTGCCTTGCACACGGCCAACCCAGGTTCGATTCCCAGCATCCCATATGGTCCCCTGAGCACTGCCAGGGGTGATTCCTGAGTGCAGAGCCAGGAGGAACCCTTGTGCGTTGCCAGGTGTGACCCCCCCAAAAAAATACAAATATAAATGGAGGAAGAGGGAGAGGAAGAACATGCAAACCCCCAGGTACTGTGAGTTCTCATGCCGCAGTGCTCAGAGCAGAGACCCCAAACTCAAACACCCCCACTGCAGGAGGCCAGTGACGTGCTTTCATCCTTCCCCGCCAGTGAAGAATCCAGGTCAGGGCCAGGAAGATGGCTTAGGGGGCTGAGTGCAGGTTTAGGGTTCAATCCCCAGCACCACATGGACCCCTCAAAACAACCCCCCCAGGGAAAGCCCTGAGCACACAGCTAGGAGACGTCCTCACACACTGCCAGTGTGCCCCCAAACCAAGGAAGAAGAAGAATAGAGGCCCGGAGTTCAAAGAGGAACACTAACATAATTTATTAAATTTACCACACAAAACTATGTTACAGGGGGAAGTATCAGAACTGAAGGGCCCATGGAGATGATGGGGTCTGAATCATGTTTGACACAGGAGGAAAGAGGATGAACACCACCAGAAACCAGCAGGTACAGCTGCACAGACCCACACAAACACGCGGGCTTAAGGCTTTTGGTCTGCAGCGAGTATGACCCAGAGGCTTAACCTCCATTGGCTGTGCTTGAATTTTTCTCAGATGTATGATCCCTGGATCTCCTTATGCTCCAGGAGACCTGAAGCAAACACGCTGGTGAAGAGTCACTCGGAGATGGGGAAGAGGGAGTTCAGATGCAGTGTGCACGGGGGCGGGAGAGGGGCTCACACCTCCCCTGGGGTCCTGAGCGCCTGCTCCCCCAGACACACCCCGAGACGCCTGCCGTCCAGAGGGGCACACCTGATCCCAAGAGGAAGGCAGAGGAGAGAAGTTGAACGCATGCTGTGCTGGGGACCGGCGCGTCAGCCAGCAGGGAGGGCATCTGCCCTGCACGCAGCCGTCCCAGGTTCAATCCCCGGCATCCCATATGGTTCCCGAGCACCGCCAGGAGGGATCCCTGAGTACAGAGCCAGAGGTAAGCCCTGAGCACTGCTGGGTGTGTCCCCCTATTAAAAAAAAAATCCCACAAATATAAACCACAAAGCATACTGTGCTCGCTCACCATCACGCCCGTCTGCAAACCCAGACCCAGTGTGAGAAGGCTGGAGAAGCCTTGGGATGAGGTGAAATGTGAGATGTCAGCAAGAGTGAAAATAACTTAGCGAAATAAATACACGGAGCGCCCCGGGGAGATACATGTGCCCGGGGAGAACGGGTCAGACAGACCAGCCTGTGCCTGGCGGTGTGGAGTGTGGGCCCGGGGACCCTGAGGGGCCTGGCAGCAGCCGAAGCCCCGCCCCTGTCCATGGTCTGCAGCAGCTCTGGCTAAAAGCAACTCCACGAAGACACATCGGCCACGTCCCCAAAGCCACGGCTGTCCACAGCCCACGAGGTCCTCAGCCTCGGTCAGGTCCCGGCAGGTGGCCCCTTGTCCATCTGCAGAGGCCCAGGTCAGCAGTGGCTTGAAGAGAACAGACCACTGCTTGGAAGTGAGCGCCGTGGCAGGAGCTCCTTTCCTGGAGTGCTCCCATCACCCTGGACATCTGGTCCACCAGCAGTTCCACTTCCGGGCGGAGGGCCTGGCCTAGGGGCTGGGCAGGGCAGCGTCACCAGAGAACAGAAGGTGCCGCAGGAGGAAGGGCCCCGCCCGGCCCCGGCACGGCTCAGCACCGAGGTGTCCAGAGGGCGCGTGTCCTCTCCGGCCCGGCTGCAGTGGACAGGCGTCTGGACAGGCTGGACGCCTCAAGCCCGCTCCGGGGGTGCCACTGCAGGAGGTCGGGAAGAGGCGTCCAGGCGGCGAGTCACAGGCGTCCCACGGCCCAGGCTGAGCGCAGCGGACCCCGCTCACGTCTCCACCACCCGGATCAGCGGCAGCGGCTTCGGGCCGGGGGGCTTCGAGATTCTCACGCTGGAAACCAAGAGGGACCCGCTGGGAACCAAGGCCGGCCCGCACGGCTGTGCCACCCTGAAGCCCCAGCCCCGCACCCCGGGCAGGGCTCTGCGGCGGGAAGGGGAGGGGGCTTGGGAAGTGCCAGGGCTAGGATGCCTGCGTTTTTGTTGGCTGGTTCTGGGGATTTTCTTAGAAATAAATAACTAGGGGGTTGGAGCTACAGTGCAGTGGGTAGGGTACTTGTTTGGACGGCGAACCCTGGTTTGACCCCGGTACCCCAGAGGGTCCCCCGAGTCCCACCAGGAGTGACCCATGAGCCCAGAACCAGGGATAATTCCTGAGCATCACTGGGTGTAGCCCCAAAACAACAAAATTAATAAATACCTCTCCAGAGACGGGTGCCTTTCCCGCCCGGCACACATGACCCGAGGGGTCCCTGACCTCTGGCGGCTACACTTGGGCCCCTCAGGGGTCTGCTCTAAGCCAGTGTGAAAACGAGCGGGGCCTGGACAGGCCGGCTCCGAGGCCACAGGACTCAGCGGGACGTGAGGGCCTGTCCTGGCTGTCCCTCGCAGCTGCCCGCAGCCCGACCCCACGCTCACCTGCCCGTGCTCTCCGTCCTGGCCCGCGTCTGCGTGCTGAAGCCCCCGGGGCTGCTCTGCCTCTCCCTCAGGTGCTCCATGCAGTCATGCAGCTCCAGGTTCTGCAGACAGGAAGGAGTGGCGATAGCCTCTGACCATGGCCGTACTCGAGGCGCTCAGGGGTGTCCCCGTGCCACACGGCCACGGTCACCACTGTTGGTGGCCACCTCGTCCCCAAGGGCGTGGATGCTGTTGTTTCTGTACATCCACTAGGACTACAGCCTGTGTCCAGTTACCTCTGGGCAGCTGGCGATTCACCTGCCCTAAATGACAGCTATTTAAGTATTTGGGGGGTTGCTTTTTTTTTTCTTTTTCTCCCGCTTCGGGTCAAAGAGAGAATACAGTGGGTAAAACACTTTTGGATCTGGGGGTCACACCTGGCAGTGCTCAGGGCTTATTCCTGACTCCTGCGCTTAGGGATCACTCCTGGTGGTGCTCAGGGGACCATCCGTGGTGCTGGGGATCAAACCCAAGTTACCTGCATGCAAGGCATGTGTCCTACCTGCTGTGCGATCACGTCAGCCCCCCCTTTTATTAAAAAAGGGGGCTAAGGTAATTTTATTTCAGCACCTTACTACTAATAATATATAAAACTGGTGACATTGCCATTTTTTCTTATTTAAGAATAATGGATGGGTCATCGCCTCTTTTGCAAACCACAACACCCAATAAGAGAGAGAGAACAGAGGGGAAAGCCCTGCCACAGAGGCAGAGTGGGATGGGGGGGTGGGGGGTGGGAGTGATACTGGGATCCGTGGTGGTGGGAAATGGGCACTGGTGGAGGGATAGGTATTTGATCATTGTATGGTTGAGACCCAAGCACAAAAATGTGTAAGTCTACAACTGTACCTCATGATGTCTCACTAATAAAAATTAAAAAAAAAAAAGAATAATTGGTGGGGCACAGGAGGGAGACTGAGGACTCTGGGGGTGGGAAATGTACACTGGTGAAGGGACGGGTCTTGGGACACTGTGTGACTGAGTACACGAACAACTTTGTAACTGTGTATCTTATGATGATTCAATAAAAAATAAATCAACAACAACAATAAAAAAGAATAATGATAAATGGGCCAGCGTGAGTGGGTAGGATGCTTACCCTGCAGGTGGCCAATCCAGGCTCAATTCTCAGATGCTCCCCTGAGCCTACCCAGAGTGATCCCTGAGTGAAGGGCCAGGAATAAGCCCCTAGCACCACAGGTGTGGCCCCCAAACAAAACAAAACATAAAACAAAACATAAAATTCTTGGGTGGAGAGCGGCCATGAACGGGAAAAGCTGGAGACGCTGGGTCCCCCGGCTGCCTCATCCCTCAGAGTCTGGCTTCTTGTCAGCACCTGGGACCAGCCCGTGAGTCACTGTGTCCTGCAATGAGGCTGGCACTCAGCTCCGGGACTCTGGACGGGTCTCACCAATGTTGGCGACGTGCAAAGGTTCTTGGAAAATCGTTTGCTCCGCGAGTGGCAGAACAGCCGAGCACAGCCAACACCGCAGGGCGTCAGGCCGAGCCAGGGCCCTGCCCCGCACACGCACCTCAGCTTCCAGATACGCAATCTTCTCCTTGAGCTCCTGGATGGTGCTGTCCTTGGACTGGATCACAGCTTTTGAGTTCTGGAGCTGCGAATATGTGGGAGACAGTGGAGCTCACTTTGAGCGACCATCACACACTCATGGGTCTGGGGGTGGGGGCCCCAGGGAGCTGAAAGGCAAGACAAGCGCCTCGCACTCTGACTTGCCGGGCTTTCCTGTGAAAGCCTCGTTTGAGTCATTACGTGTTTCAAGGGATGGTGCTAGGACACCGAAATAATTCCAAATAACGGATGATTAAGTTAAGAGATTCCATTAGTGGGGCTGGAGCAATAGCACAGTGGGGAGGGCGTCGGCCTTGCGTGTGGCTGACCCGGGTTCAATCCCCAGCATCCCATACGGTCCCCTGAGCACAGAGCCAGGAGTAAACCCTGAGCACTGCCAGGTGTGACCCAAAACCAAAATGCGAACATTTAAAAATCCCACCAGATTTAAAGAAACACCAATAAAGTACTGATTCGATAAGAATGTGTTGAGTGTCTGCTCTCAGAAGGGTTCTACTGGACACAGCAGGGGACACCACAATCTTCACCTCACAGGAGTGAGCACAAGTGGTCCGGCAGGGCGAAACACGCCCCCCACCCCCGCGCCCCTCGCCCCTGAAGCCAGCTTGCAAATAGCTCTGCTTGGAGAAGGCAGAAGCCGTCTGTGAGATCCAAAGGTGGGTCACTAGACAGAAATGGGTTTGCCAGGATCCAAGTCCCAGCTTCCTGGCAGTTTCCAGGCCCAAGAGTTCAGCCTTCCCTTCTTTTCCCATAGAAAAGAAGACAGGGGCTGGAGCAACAGCACAGCGGGGAGGGCGTTTGCCTTGCACGCGGCCGACCCGGGTTCGATTCCCAGCATCCCATAGGGTCCCCCGAGCACCGCCAGGGGTGACTCCTGAGTGCAGAGCCAGGAGTAACCCCTGTGCATCGCCGGGTGTGACCCAAACATTTAAAAAAATTAAAAAAAGAGAAAGTTGAATGTTGGGCTGGAGAGATAGCACAGTGGGTAGGGCATTCGCCTTGCACGCGGCCGACCCGGGTTCGAATCCCAGCATCCCATAGGGTCCCCCGAGCACCGCCAGGGGTGACTCCTGAGTGCAGAGCCAGGAGTGACCCCTTTGCAATGCCAGGTGTGACCCCAAAAAGCAAAAAAAAAAAAAAAGAAAAAAAAAAAAGGAAGACAAAACACTTAGAGGTGGGGCAGAAACTCAGGTTCCACCCCACCCACCAAGCACCACCGAAACGCTACACAACGGAGAGGGGCAGCGTCACCGGCCCGGCTCCTGGCCACCCTCCGTGTGTATGGGGCATCGAGGAAGACACACCCAGCGCCCCGGAGAGTGAGGGAACGGCAAGGCCAGCGGCCCGCTACCTGCTCGATCATCTGCCGGACTTTGCGCTGCTGGCTCTTCAGCATGTCGTCAAGCTGGCGGATCTTCTCCCGCAGCCCTGCCACCTCCTTCTCGAGGCCGGCGGCCCTGCGGGGGAGGCCAGAGACTCAGGCCTGGCGAAGACGCTTCCGGGCCCTGCCACAGTCCTGGACCCGGGGTGTTTCCTCAGACACAGTTCTGCCTGAGGAAGCAAGGTGGCGGCAGGACATCCCGAAATATCGAAGTGGGGGGCTGGAGGGGCTTGGGGGATCAGGAAACGTGCAAGCACCCATGGTGGGTGCCGGGGGCCTCGCTGGATCCCCGGGATGGCCCGAGAGGTCCCGAGCACTGTCGGCCTGAGCAGCACCTCATCACAGGGCCCAAGCACTGAAGTGTCTGGGCAGAGCCCAGGACCCTCGGTGCTCTGTGTGGAGAAGCCCTGAGCCAGATCCCCGGAACGGCACCCACCCCGCCCTGCACTGCTGGGCCTCAGCACATGAGCCCAGGAGAGGCCCTTGCCAAGGATGGGAAAGATCCAACTGATACAAGGGAAGTCAAGTGAAACAACCGGTGTTAATTCTGATTTACCATTTCAGAGCTTTCTTAGAGTATGTGTGTGTGGGGCGGGGGACAGGGGGTGCCTGGGACCACACCCAGCAGGGTTCAGGGCTCATGCCTGGCTCTGAGCTCAGGGATCCTGCCTGCTGGGGCCCAGGGGAGTTTAGTGGGTCACAGGGATCGGCCAGGTCCCCAGTGTACGGGACATGCACCCTCTGCTGTTGTCTCTCCAGCCCCTCCATTCCAGATCTTATTGGCCAACGGTGGTGCTGAAGACAGAACTTAGGGCTTCACACACGAGGCATGCACCGAGCCACCGAGCCCATGTCCCCCCGAGATTTCCCTGGCCTGGGTCCCGGCTAAGTGAGAGTCCAGGAGAGAGGGAAGGCCCCGCGCCCTGTGGATGGTGTCTGTCAGGGAACTGAGTGTCTCCAGGAAGCCTTTGTTCTGTTTCACCTCAGAGTGACTGTTCCTTTTTCTCCTGGCTGTGCTTGGGGGACCCTAAGTGGTGCCGGGGATCAAACCTGGGTCAGCCATGTGCCAGTGCCTGGCCTCTGAGGTGGGGTCGAACTGTGCCACCCTCTTGTGCGGAGGGCAACATGTGCTCTTAGCCACCCACCCACGAGAATGCCAGCGGGATGCCGGCCTCGCTGACTCCGTGCCTGTGTGGAAACTGCCCCATGCACGCCGACTCCCAGGACGCACACCCGGGTGCGGTGACTCAGGGCGGCGACGTGGGCCCAGCCCAGCCACCCTCCGTGCAGCCGCGCACGACGGGGCCCTTACTTCTCCCGCTCCGCCTGGCAGCTGGCATCCCTGCTCCGCAGCTCCTCCAGGGACAGCTCCTGATCCCTCAGTTTCGCCAGTAAGGCCTGGTGCTCCTACGGGCCGGGGGAAGGACACTGGGCATAAGGAGGCGGCAGGAGCCGCTGCAACTGTGCGAGGCAGCTGGGGGCTAGGCCAGCTGGTCTGACGGGCACCTGCCCTGGTGCACGGAGCCTCCAGCCTCGCCCACTGCTCTCGGGACCCTGCGAGCAGTGCTCCACACCCGAGTAGCCAGGCCGAGCACTGGGGAACAGCCTCCAAAGCCTCATACAGCCAGCCCAGCCTCCACCCCCACTGCCTCCACACACAGACACACACACACACACACACACAGACACACACAGAGACACAGACACACTCAGAGACACAAACACATGCACACATACAGATGCAGACACACACACGCATGCACACACATGCGCACACACACACACACACACACACACACACACCACGCAAACACTTCTAGTGGCGCTGCTAGTGAGACAGGCGTGTCGGCGCCCCCTCGGGTGGGCCCCGTGTCCCCTACCGTCTCCATGGCCAGCAGGCGCCCCTGCAGCTGCCCGGCGGCCTCCTCCTTCTGCTCCGCCCGGGCCTCGGCGCTCCGCAGGGCCGCGTGGTTCTGCTCCCCTTCTCTCTGGTAGCGGCTCAGGGTGACCTAGAACAGGGGACTGCGTGACGCGGGGCCGTGAGCCGGGCAGCGCCCGGGGGAAGGGAGGGGTGAGGAGAGGCAGGGGCCCAAGGCAGGGGCAGCAGGACCCGAGGTGCCCACCTCCACGCCCCCACCTGATAGGACCCAAGGCTGTGACCTTTGTGCTAATCCAAACCCGATGACCCGGGAGAGCACCCCACGTCCCTCCCCACCTTTGCTCAGCTGGCACTTGGCACGGGGGAAGGCCGCCAAGGACCTGGGGATCGAGCCCCGAAAAGGCCAGCAGCAGTGAGAGTTTGTTTGTTTGTTGGGGCTGTGCCTGATGGGGCTCAAGGCTGTTCCTGCCCAGATATTCTCAGCAGTGCTCAGGGAGTCACATGGGGCCAGGGCTTAAACCTGTGACCCTGGCCTGCAAAGCGTGCACTCCGGCCCGGGGTCCCCGGCCTGCCCCTACCGTCACCTGTAATGCAGGGATGAGACTCAGAAGCACCTCCCAGCAGGAGCAGTTTAGCGTGAAAAGTGAGAGAGAAAGCTGCCTCCCCGCCCCCCAGGCGTTCTGCCAGTGACTCCTCAGTCCGGCTCAGAGACCTGAGGAGTCTCTACATCCGGGTGAGGGGCCTCCCTGGGCTCGACCAAGGAGGACACACAGTGCCCACCCTATTTATCTATTTTTGGGTTACACCCAGCAATGCTTGGGGCTGACTCCTGGCTCTGCACTCAGGGATCACTCCTCATAGTGCTTGGGGGACCCTCTGGGGTGCCAGGCATGAAACCTGGATCAGCCACGTGCAAGGCAAGTGCCCTCCTTGCTGACATGTCTCTCCAGCCCCACGGCCCCCGCCTTCCTGCAGCAGGCTGGACTCTGCTCACTGTGTGCAGGTCTGAGGCTACGGACATCACACCGGACCAGCCGAGGCCTACGCACCAGGAAAAGTGCCAGAGCTCAGCCCTGTGCAAAACCCAGAAACTCCCCCGACCACCATCACCACTGAAACAAAACAAAAACAAAAACAAAAACTAACCCAACCAGTGATGGGAACTGATCACAGCAAACCTCCAATTGACGCAGCCAAGGCTCAGCCCCGGGCGAATGGCCTAGTGTCAGAGCCCCCCTGCCCATTCATTGCAATCCCCCTCAGCTGCCTCTGCGGATTCCCCGATCACCTGTTAAAGCAGCAGCTGGTGACCTCTCAACAGCCCAGCCAGCCTTGGGAAAATACATCGTCAGCAGCCAGTCTGTCCAGCTCCTCCCAAAGCCAGAGCCAGGGAGGAGAAAGGCCAGCAGGGGAGGAGGGGTGGTGGCCGCACCCCAGCCCTGTCCACAGGCAGCTTGCTGCCAATCCCCTCCTGACAGCAGGCTGGGAACTCAGCCTGGGGGACAGACTGTTTCCACGGGAACGGACGGTCTTTCTCTCGCTAACCCCAAGCTTAGAAAAACAACGCAGAGTCATATCCACTGGGAGTGCTGCAAAAGGCCCGCACCCCACATCTGCCCGGGACAGGGCAGCCCCCAGGCAGGACGCAAAAGGCCAGGCGCCTGGTCTCTGTGTGTAAATACTGCACCCGGCATAGCTTTGACAGACCATGGACCACCATCAAATCCCAAAGGAAAAAGGTCACTTCACTGCCAAACGGACAGCTAAGCCAGTTCCACCCAGAAGGAACATCTCGTCACAGGAGGCTGCCAGCCCACCTTAGCCTGGAAGAGCTGGGGGTTGGTGCCCCCCGGGCTTGAGGGCAGCCCCTTCTGCAACACCAGCAAGTGAGCACAGCGGCAGGAGCCTGCAAGACACAGGCTGGTCTGGCATGGCCACACCTGTCAGTGGGGGTCATGCGGTGCCCTGGTCCAATTAGGGGCAGCCACACGCACTGAAACCTCTGACTGTCTTTCCGGCCCCTGGCCTCAGCCTTTCTTGGCTCAGAATATTTCTTTTTTGTTTGCTTTTTGGGGGGGGTCACACCCAGCGATGTTCAGGGATTACTCCTGGCCCTGCACTCAGGAGTCACTGCTGGCGGGACTTGAGGTGGCAGGGATTGAACCTGGGTCGGCCACATGTAAGGCAAGTGCCCTACTCGCTGTGTATCGCTCTGACCCTCAGAATATTTCTGATCCAAGTTCAAAATGTCAGACTAGAAGAGACCCCCCCCACCCCCAGTCTGGCCAAGATAGGCAAGTATGATACACTGCTTCTCAATGCAAAAATTTCTTTCCAGAGTTCACGGTCAGAGCAGTGCTCCAGCCTGACCTCCCCTTCCTCCTGCTCTGCCCCAGGAAGGCCAAGGAGAGCCGGTCACTCGGCTGACACATGCCTGGCCGCATTCTCTCAGCTGTGGAATCGGAAACAGATACAGCAAATGCCTGTCGGCTGGAGCCACTGTGTTTGAAATCAAATGCATCTCAGTCTTGCCTCGAATCCAAACGACTTGAGAAAAATAAAGTGAATCATGTCATTTATGACCCTTTTATTATTTAGAGTCATACCCTGTGGCACTTGAGAGGCCTTGTGGTAACCTAGGATCAGACCCAGGACTCCTGCCTGCAGAGCAGGTACTCAGGCCGGCTCAGAGCCCCTGGTTCTACTTCTAAAAGTGTGTGTGTGTGTGTGTGTGTGTGTGTGTGTGTGAGAGAGAGAGAGAGAGAGAGAGAGAGAGAGAGAGAGATTGACAGAGACAGAGAACACATGTGTATGAGAGTCTGAGTGTGTGTCTGTATGTGAGAGCATGTATATGTGTGTGTGAGTCTGAGTGTGTGTATGTGAGAGCATGCATGTGAGTGTGTGTATGAGCATGGGTGTATGAATGTGGCTGCAAGTGTGAGCCTTTGTATGAGTGTGACTCTGAGTGTGTGAGCATATGTGAGTGTCTGTAAGATTGTGAGTGTAAACATGTGTGTGAGTGGGCCGGAGCGATAGAACAGTGGGGAGGGCGTTTGCCTTGCACGCAGCTGACCCACCCGGGTTCGAATCCCAGCATCTCATAGGGTCCCCCGAACATCACCAAGAGTAATTCCTGAGGATAGAGCCAGGAGAAACCCCTGAGCATCGCTGGGTGTGACCCCCCCCCCAAAAAAAAGTGTGTGAGCATGTATATGAGTGTGAGTCCAAGCACGTATATGAGGGTGTGTGAGTCTGTATGTGTGTATGTGAGAGCATCTGTGAGAGCATGCGAATGGACATGAGTGCAAGAGTGAGAATATATATAATTGTGTGTCTAAGTGTGAGTGTGTGAGTGTGTGTGTGAGAGCATTGTGTGTGAGTGCAAGAGCAGGCGTGTGCATGAGTGTGTGTGTGTGTACACAACAGCTGCCTTGCTCAATCTGCAAACTCATTTCATGAGCTCTTTTTTTTTTTTTTCATGAGCTCTTTTTACAAGAGTCGAAGCTGATGCTTACGGAGGTTAAATTACTTGCTAAAGTGAGACTTCAAATACTCTAGCGGTGGCTAATTATTCTCAGCACCCTTCTTCCTCCCCTGCCTCCAAATAGGATCTCTAGGGCCCATGAGAGAAACAGCTGGCCTTCTTCTAAACGTCCGTTCCTAGCATGTCTCTGCAAGACATAATCCTCGCATTACACACTGATGACACAAAAATCTTACAAGTAGATAGATGAACAAGAGCAAACAACAGATGGCTCACAACACACTCATACACACACACACACACACACACACACACGAAAATGCCTGGTTTGCCTCATTTTATAATCAAAGTATGGGTAACATCATCTACTTTAAGATTTTTCTTCATTTGGAGGGGGTCACTCCCAGCCATGCACTTGGGTCCAGGGACGTGATTCTCCTTAGGTTGATAGTCCCAAGGCCACTCCCAAGGCCACTGCAGCTGGGCTGGGGGTTGGGCCTACGTGACTGAGACGGGCTCTGTCATTCTGCACGCAGGAATGCACCCCAGTCCTTCGCTCTCTCCCAGACAGTATTCCCTTCTGTTTCATTTTTGTTTGGGGCCACACCTGGCCATGCACAGGGGTTACTGCCAGCAGCTCAGGAGCTGGTGCTGGTGGTCAGGGGGCGGCACGCAGTGCCAAGATCGAATCCTGGGCCTCCCATATGCAAAGCGGCTGCTTCAGACACGCTTTCAACAGTGAAACTTGGCACGCTCCACGGGCTTGGAGATGTTTTTAATCTCTCATAATCTAGTCGCACCTTCTTTTTTTTTTTATTCTAGTTTTGGGCCACACCCAGCTGTGCTCAGGACTTAGTCCTGGCTTTGTGCTCAGGGATCATACGGGGTTCCAGGGATTCTGGTGGTGTCAAGGGGACTATTCAGAGCATCCGGAATTGAATCCTGGCTGGCTGCAGGCAAGGCAAATGCCCTCCCCACAGTACAATCTTTCCAGCTCCCAGAAACAACTATTTTTAGTGAAACAAAGAAGTATTTTTATTGAATAAAACTTACTCTTTAAAAAAAATGAGATTTTAGGGGCTGGAGCGATAGCACAGCAGGTAGGGCGTTTGCCTTGCACGCAGCCAACATGACCGACACAGGGTCGATTCCCAGCATCCCGTATGGTCCCCCGAGCACCGCCAGGAGTGATTCCTGAGTGCATGAGCCAGGAGTAACCCCTGAGCATCGCCGGGTGTGACCCAAAAAGCAAAAAAATAAAATAAAATAAAATTTAATGATAGAGGACTGGAACTATAGTACAGGGGTAGGGCGTTTGCCTTGCAAGTGGCCGACCGGGGTTCGAATCCCAGCATCCCGTATGGTCCCCCGAGCACCATCAGGAGTGATTCCTGAGTGCATGAGCCAGGAGTAACCCCTGAGCATCGCCGGGTGTGACCCAAAAAGCAAAAAATAAAAAAAAGAGATTTTAAAAAAATAGTTGGTAATTTTTATTTGGGGCAGTGGGTACGTCTGGGGAAGGGGAAAGAGTTCTTCCCTCTCTCCCATATGTCCTCACACTATTAACTGCATCTCAGTAAAACAGGTCAGTTGGATGTGGCAAGAAAGAGAGAAAGAAAAAAAGAAAGAAAGGAAGAAAGGAAGGGAGAGAGAGAAAGAGAGAGACAAAAAGAGAGAGAGAGAGAAAGAAAGAAAGAAAGAAAGAAAGAAAGAAAGAAAGAAGAAAGAAAGAAAAAGGGGAAAAGTGTTCAAGTGAGAACTGACTTCTGCAGAGGGGACGGAACAAGCACAGAAACAGACAAGTCAGCAAACTGCGTGTTCCAGGGAGACCCTGGGCTTGGGGACACACCTCCCACAAACAACTTCTGAATGAGCTGCAGTCCCCAAGCTGGGTCCCAACACTCCGCTCCGAGGGAGCAGAGAATCAGGCACTGATGCCGGAATGCTGAGCTGGCCGGGGAGGAGAAGCTGTAAATCTCTAGGGAGGGCCCAGCAGACAGACAGCCTCGCTTTTCCAGCTGAGGAAACTCAGCCAGAAAAACGTGAAGCCTGTGTGTCACGACAGTCACTGGCATCTCCACAGCAGCCCAACCCTGCAGGCACCTTTTCCCAAATCCCGAATCTCACCTCAAAAGCCACACGGTCGGACTGGTGCTTCCGCTCAGCCTCCTGCAACTTGGCGAGCAAGTCTTGCACGTTCTTCCTCAGGCTCTGGACGTCTTCGTGTACAAAGGCGTCAACCTGCGGCCCGATCCGTGAGGGGACAATGACGCCTGCACATTCTCTCCCTTTTTTGGGGGGAGGGGGGCACACCCAAGGATGCTCAGGTCTAAGTCCTGGAGCTGCACTCAGAGATCACTCGTGGCAGTGCATGGGGACCATATGGGATGTGGGGATCAGACCCAGGGCGGCCACATGCAAAGTAAGTGCCCTCCCTGCTGTCCTGTCTTTCCAGCCTTGAAGCCTGAGTGTTTGGACCTAAGATCTCCCACTCCCTTGTCCCACCACCCCTTGTCTGGGTCACCTTGCACAGACCACCCTCACAAAGGAATTCCTACTTCCTTGGGGCTGGAGAGACAGGATAGGGGGGAAGGCACTTACCTTGTACAAAAGCTGACCGAGGTTATACCCCCTGCACCCCATATAGTCCCCTGAGCCTGCCAGGAATAAACCCCAAGCTCAGAGCCAAGAGTAAGCTCTGAGCACTGCCGGGTGTGGCCCCAAACCCAATCCCCGCCCCACAAAAACACAAGCAAAGAATGAATTCCTACTTGCCAAGGGGAGAGTTAGTATTGGGCATCTGAGAATTTGGGGTTCCATGAAAGCACGTTCTCTTCATTCCCGACAAAACTCAACTCTCCTCTAAGCCCCGATTATTTCAGGGTATGTGCACGCAGTAACTAATTTAGTTTTGGGGCATACCTGGCCTGCTCACTCCTGGCTCGATACTCAGGGGTCACTCCTGGCACGAGTGGGGGACCATCGGGGGTGCTGGGGATCAGACCTGGGTTAGCCACGTGCAAGACAGCTTGGGGCTCACTTCCCTATGTCCCCCCCACCCAGGTGGCATATCCCATAGGCACAGCCGCTACTGTTCCTGCCCTGGTCCGGGACTGGCATGGAAAGGGTGACGGATGAACGGGCAGCCTTGCAGTGAAAGCACCCCAAGTCCCGTCATCTGGTTTAGCGAAGGAAAGGTGTCTCCTTGGTTCCTGCGCATCTCTGGGCACGCCCAGCCGTGGCTGTTGAGGGCTGCAGTGGCAGGCGGGGTCTCACCCCATCCTGCCGCCCAGCTCCCAACACAGCACCCCGGCCCCCTGCACTCTTGTCCAGCACCGCGGGAGCTGTGACAGTCCAGCTAGAGCCACGCAGGCCTGAGTTGTGGTCTTTATCTCTGCGGGAACGGGGGCTTGGGAACCAGTGACCACGCCCCGCACCCAGGCTCCCCCAAACTCAGGGGGATGGTACCCTCGTGAGCAGAGGGTACAGAGATGCCAGGCATCATGGTGCTGTCCCCAAAGGCACAGGTGCTAGATATGGTGGCTGGGAGGGAGGAAAAAAAAATCTCAAAGAGGTGAGAATCCCAACACTGCAAATTTCCACAATGGACAACTGCTCTATCCCTGGACAGAAGTCACTGGCCAGAGGGAGCACTGAAAGACTCCTGAAGCATCACTGGGCGCGAGTGTGTGTATGCGTCCGTGTGTGAGAGAGTATATAAGCATGTGTGTTGTGAGTGTGAATGTGTGCATGTGTGTACTCGTGTGTGTAGATGCATGTAAGTGTATGCACGTGTATGTGGAAGCATGTGCATTGTGCGTGTTGGGCGTGTCTGTGTGAGAATGTGCCTGTATGAGTCTGCCTGTGTGTTTATGTTCATGTGAGTTTAGAGTATGTGTGTATGGGGCTGGAGTGATAGGACAATGGGGAGGGCGTTTGCTTTGTATGAGGCCAACCCGGGTTCGATCCCCGGCATCCCATAGGGTCCCCTAAGCAATGCCAGGAGGAATTCCTGAGTTCAGAGCCGGGGGTAACCCCTGAGCACCACCAAGCGTGTGTATGTGCGTGCATGTGTGTGTGTATCACAAGCCACACTTACTGGTGCCAAGGGACTGTGCCTGCACTGGGGCTCAGGGCTGTTCCGGGCGGGCTTAGGGGGCCTGTGGTGCCAGGAATCAGACCTTGGTCTCAGCATGCAGAACCGCCTGTGAGGTGTCTCCAGGGCCCCGGAGCATAACTCTAACGTGTTTACTGCAAATGAGGTTCTCATAAGACTTTCTAATGACCTGGAGGATTTTCAGGATAAAACTGTATAGAACTACTGTGTCAGAAACAAGAAACTCTATTTAACATGGCAACGTGGGAGCAGAGAGAACCAGTGAGACAGCAGAGGCTCTGCGTGCAGGAGGGCCTGGGTTGTGTCCCCAACACGGCAGGGGCCCCAAGCCCCATAGAAGCGACCCCAAACACAGAAGTAGCCTCTGAGGACCATCAGATGTATCCTGAAATCTGGGCCCCTCAAATAAAGAGATATAGCAATATATCTCTTTAGAATAATAAACAAATAAAGGCCCTCCCGTTGATCATCGATTTGCTCGAGCGGGCCCAGTAACGTCTCCATTGGAGACTTTGTTGTTACTGTGTCTGGCATATCGAATACTCTCGGTAGCTTGCCGGGCTCTCCGAGAGGGGCGGAGGAATCGAACTCGGGTCGGCCATATATATCTCTTTATATAGATATATATAGATCAATGTCAAAACATGGTGCCAGCAATGCCGAAGGGAGTGGGGGGAGAGGAGCGGAGACAGAGGACCTGCCAGAGAGGCAGGCGGGGATGGCGCCAGGAGAGGCCCTGAGCACCACCTGGAATGACCCCACCCCTCCCCCCAAATAAATAAGCAAACAAATAAACAACATTTGTCAACAATGCCTGGCTAACACTGAAGACGAAAGCAAAGCCACCAAGAAAAATAAAGTCAAGTGGATCGACGTATACTAACATGAAAAAAAAAAAGCTGTAATATTCTCTAATGATTAAAAAACAAGGACCAGGGAGCTGCCCCAAGGGCTGAGCGTGGGTTTGAGGGCAGGGGCCCAGGTCCAAGCGCTGTGACCACCACACCTGCCCTGTGCACGCCTGGCAGCAAACCCAAGGCTCAGTCCAAGGAGAAGCCCCTGAGCACTGCAGAATGTGACCCCAAACAGAAACAAAACGGGAAGCCAGGAACAATATGCTTATCAGGAACCTGTACTGTGAAAAGGATGTGTGTGTGTGTGTGTGTGTGTGTGTGTGTGTGTGTGTGTGTCTGTGTGTGCAGGAGAAATAAACTACTAACCTCAATCTCTACTATATGATTGGGAGCCCCCTGCATATGCTGCCCGAGCCTATGTGCTTGTGCCCATGTGGCCGAGCACATGTGGTGCCTGAGCACATGTGTCGCCCGCATCTCCCCTCTTGGGATGTGTCCTTTCATGCTTTCGTGTCTAATGCTGGTATGTGTGTAGGGGCTCTCTCCGCCCTTGGAGAAGCCCTTGTTCTCTCTTGAGTACTTCTCTCTCTCTCTCTCTCTCTCTCTCTCTCTCTCTCTCTCTCTCTCTCTCTTCCCTCTCTCTCTCTCCCCCTCCACACCTTAAAAATCCTCCAAATAAAATCTGTTTATTTCAAAAAAAAAAAAAAGATTGGGAGCCCTGGGGCTGGAGTGACAGTACTCCAGCAGATAAGAAGTAGCGGGTAGGGTGTTTGCCTTGCATGAGGCCGACCCAGGTTCGATTCCCAGCATCCCATAGGGTCCCCCAAGCACTGCCAGGAGTGATTCCTGAGTGCAGAGCCAGGAGGAACCTCTGAGCATCGCTGGGTGTGATCCAAAAAGCAAAAACCAAAAAAAAGATTGGGAGCCCTGAAAACTCCCCTTCCTTCTGAATGTCGCATGTAATGTGCAAATTCCTGCCCTGTGGAAGCTTATCTGCGGGCACCCAGGGATGTGGCTCGGTGGTGCGGTGGCTGCCTGGCATGTGCAAGGCCTCAGTATGGCCACCAGCAGTGCCCCTTGCTGAGAGGAATGTCATCTGTGTCACTGCCTGTGCCACAAGCAAGTACATAAAAATCAGACTTTGCAACTAGTGACGCTGCAACAGGAAAAGAGGAGAAAAGATCTTTCTAAGGTGACAGAGCCAGAGAGGCAGCACAGTGGGGAGGGCACGTCCCTTACGGGCAGCCAGCCCAGGCTTGGCCCCTGGCAGCCCAGATTCCCCTGCACATTGCCAGGAGTGATTACTGAGCACAGAGCCAGGAGTAAGCCCTGAGCACCGCCAGGTGTGGCCCAAAACATACAAAAGTATATTATTCACACGTGTCCACCCAAGGATACCTACACATATGGTACAGGCGTAGGTGCTAATACACATACCCACAGAGAGATGACATTTAAATATGTCTGGGGGCTGGAGAGATAGCACAGTGGGTAGGGCATTTGCCTTGCACGTGGCCGACCCGGGTTCGATTCCCAGCATCCCATAGGGTCCCCTGAGCACCGCCAGGAGTGATTCCTGAGTGCAGAGCCAGGAGTAACCCCTGTGCATCGCCGGGTGTGACCCAAAAAGCAAAAATAAATAAATAAATAAATAAGGTTGTCTGGTTATAGAAAAACAATAGAACTTAACTTTGGCTAAACAAGTATTTGAAGAGCTTTTACTGTTGTCACTGTTTTGCGAACACACCCACAGTTCGCTTCTGACAGGGCTCAGGGCACCAGGGATGGACCCAGGTCGGCCACCAAGACAAGCGCCCTTCCTGCTATGCCGTGGCTCTGCCCTGCAACGCTCTGGAAAGCACTGATGCCCACACCGCAGCTTGGAGAGTCAAGTCACAGTGTGTGTGTGTGTGTGGGGGGGGGGGGGGACAGGGGACAGCACCGTAGCCTTAGAAGCTACTACGGCGTGCCCACGGCACAGAGGCCGAGGAGAGCAGCTGTCAGTGGACCCAACGCGCCTGCTTCAGCTGGTCACACGGACACGCGGGAGGACTGGGGCGAAGAAGTCCCCCTCTGAGTGCCCATCGTGAGTGTCGACAGCAAGGCGAACACACGTAAAAGTCCTTAGCAAAGGGTCGGAACAGACCTGCTCGTGCCAAGCAGGAGCTGCAGTTACCTACCTTAGGAGGGGGGCTGTACAGGGGTGGGGGGCTGCGGCTAAAGCCATTGGGCGTGTCTAGCACCACCTGTTCAAAGGAAAATGAGATTGATGGTTAAGACATCAGCATCCAAGCCACGGACTAGAATTCCTCCAATCAATCAGAGAGAGAGAGAGAGGGAAAGAGAGGGGGAGAGAGAGAGAGAGAGAGAGAGAGAGAGAGAGAGAGAGAGAGAAAGAGAGAGGAAGTAGAAGGCTTAGATGAAGGAGGGGAGGGAGAGGAGGGGGAGGGGAGGGGAGGGGAGGGGAGGAGAACGGAAATGGGTGATGCTCAGCCCGGCCCGATCTTCCCAGTTCAGGGAACCCAGGCACTGCATCACTGCATAAAGCACTTCCCTTTGGCCCTTGGAGAGCCTGACAGATTCAACCAAACATGAAGCAGAAGCAGTCCTGAGGGCCCTGGGAAGCCGGAGGCCGCTGGTCCTTGCAAACAGGGGTCCGGACGCCGTCTGGGGTCAGGCTCTGAGCTGCGAAGAGCTTCCACACCGAGCGAGCCCTCGGCCCGCAGGCGGGTCCTGGCAGCAGAGGCCTCTGGCCCTTCCATCATCCCCCCGCATCGAGGTCTCGCTTTCTCTTCCCAAATTCATTTTTATTTTTTTTTCCTGATTTCCCTTTTTATTATTTGTTTTACGTGATTTATAATCCGGCTAATGATAGTTTCATGGGTCTGGGGTGGGGGGCACACCCAGGGATGCTCACAGCTTCTTCCTGGCTCTTGACTCCCGGCGGGGCTCCCAGGATCAAACCATGGCTGGCCAAGTGCAAAGCCAGTACTGCAACCCCAAAACGCTCTCAGCCTGATGTCAGGGCTGGTGGGGGCGCCGAGAGGCCACATCCCGTAACCTCGGGGGTTCTAGTGTGCAGGGAGTGTGTATAAAGGCAGAGAGCCCGCGTGGCCTGGTGCACAGGGTGAGTGCCCGAGGGAACTGCCCGCCTCACCCAGCGGCGCCTGGTACCTGGACGTCCTGCCAATGGGGCTCCCCGGGGCCTTGCTCGAGCTTGCTGCTGATGTCCTCACGCAGCTTCTGCAGGCAGCTCCGGGCCTGGGCAGAGGACAGCACGCTCAGGGGATGTCAGAAAGGCGTACGCACCCCCCACCACCGCCCTACTTGGTGCCCTCCATGGGCGCTGGGAGCCAGGCACTGAGCTCAGTACCAGCTGGGGAAGCAGCAGATGAAGCTGCTGCCACACCACGGGGACACGTACCACAACACCCCAGGCACGGGCAATAGGTTATGGGTGACAGATGTGAGGGAGAAACAGGAGCCGGCACCAGGACAGGTGAGGCCGACTGGGAAGCAAACGAGGCCCAGGGCATGGTGTGCGGCAGGACAGACTGGCTGGTCCCTGGAAGCATCAGAAACGGCCCTTGCCTGGCACCGGAAGTGCCATAAAGGTCTTTCTGTCTGGTCTGGTTTTGTGAGCTACACCTGGTAGTGCTCAGGGCTTACTCCTGGCTCTGGACTCCGGGATCATATGGGGTGCTGGGGGATTGAACTTGAACCTGGGTTGGCTGCAGGCAAAGCAAGCGCTGTCCTACTGCTCTGGCCCCCGTGAAGGCAGCTGGGAGACAGGAGTGGTGCAGAAGAAAACGGGAAGCCCCAGAGGAGAGACCCCGGAGGTGCAAAGCTGGTGGGGTCACCTCCACCAGGAAGGGGTACCTACCTCCTGGATATACTGGACTTCGCTCTTCAGCTGGTCGATGTTCTTCTCATGGACCCGCTTGTCCCCAGCCCGGCCCTTCAGGTACACCTGGAACAGGAAGGCAGTGCGGGCAGCTAAGAAGCCAGAGGGCAGTGAACTCGTCCCCACGGGAGCTTCACACACAGCTGGGGACAGGACGCCAGCCACCGTGGGCGGGTGACTGGAGCAAAGGATGTGAACACGTGTTTGCAGGCAGGAGGCGTGGATACAGTCCACAATGCCCCAGGGTCCCCCAAACATGAGCCTGAGTGATCGAACATCTCATGTACACGTATGTAAGTATGTGAGTGTCCGCCAGTCTGACTCATTCATCTCATGGGGATCAATTTCCAGACGTCATATACTGTAGACACACATAAACATAAACCCACGGGCAGGGGCTAAGAGAGAGGATGGACACTATCTGCTCTCTAGCCAAGCTTGAATTTTTTACAATTGAGAGAATTAAAGGCATCCAGATTAGAAAAGATAAGGCACGACTCCTTTAAAAAAAAAAAAAAACACTCGGGGCAGGAGCGATAGCACAGTGGGTAGGGCGTTTGCCTTGCACATAGCTGACCCGGGTTCGACTCCCAGCATCCCATATGGTCCCCCGAGCACCGCCAGGAGTAATTCCTGAATGCATGAACCAGGAATAACCCCTGTGCATCGCCGGGTGTGACCAAAAAAAAAAAAAAAAAGCAAAAAAAAAAAATTTTGGGTCAGAAAAGTACAGCGAGAAGGGTACTTGCCTTGCATAGGGTCCACCCAGATTCAATCCCCAGGACCCTACTTGGTCTCTTGGAGCCCACCTGGAGTAATCCCTGAGTGCAGAGCCAGAAGTAAGCCCTGAGCACAGCAGTATGGCCCAAAAACTAAAACTAAAAAAAATAAACAGGGACTGTAGGAGAAGCGTAGTGAACATGCCTTGCACCCCGTAACCCAGGTTGGGTTTTTTTTTGCTTTTTGGGTCACACACAGCAATGCACAGGGGTTACTTCTGGTTCATGCACTTAGGAATCACTCCTGGCAGTACTCGGGGGACCATATGGGATGCTGGGAATCGAACCCGGTCGGCCACGTGCAAGGCAAACGCCCTACCCGCTGTGCTATCACTCCAGCTACATGACCCAGGTTTGATTCTTATCCCTCATGGTCTTAGGGGGACACTGAGCACTGCCAGGTGTGGTCCAAAAAACAAACAGAGAGATAAATAGGAGCAGGTTAGTATAGTGGGCAAGGCATTTGCCTTGCAGATGGCTGACCTGAGTTCAATCCCCAGCACCCGATGAGGCCTGCCAGGAGCAATCTCTAAGTACTACCAGAAGACTCAAATCCTCACAACCACCACAAAAAAGTGAAAACAAATGCTAGGATATATCTCAGCAATAAACACAGGCCTACCCGGTACATGGAAGGTTTGGACTCAATCCCTAAGGGAAAAAAGACAAAGGATTTGGTGAGTCAAGAGAGTGACAGAGGCCAGAGTGACTGCACAGTGGGGAGAGCATCGCCTGGCACGCTGCCAACCTGGGATCAATTCCTGACACCCTATATATGGTGCCCTGGGCCCTGCCGGGAGTTATTCCTGAGCACAGAGCCAGGAGCAACCCCTGGGCACAGCCAACTGTGCTTTCCCCCCTACAAAAAAGTGAAGAACGAAACAATACTAAAAAACAAAATAAAATTCTCTGAAGACTTGAGAAAAAAAATTCCCACATCATGGGGCCAGAGCGATAGTACAGTGGGTAGGGCGTTTGCTTTGCAGGCGGCCGACCCAGGTTTGATTCCCAGCATCCCGATGGCCCCCTGAACACCGCCGGGAGTAATTTCTGAGTTCAGAGTCATACCCTAAGCATCGCGGGTATGACCCAAAAAGCCAAAAAAAAAAAATCCACATCATATATTTGGCAAGGATAAGGTAGTCAGAATAGATCACCACTGTAGCACTGTCCTCCTGTTGTTCATCAATTTGCTCGAGTGGGCACCAGTAACGTCTCCATTGTGAGACTTGTTGTTACTGTTTTTGGCATGTCGAATACGCCACAGGGAGCTTGCCAGGCTCTGCCATGCGGGCGGGATACTCTCAGTAGCCAGAGGGATGGAGGAATCAAACCCGGGTTGGCAGTGTGTAAGGCAAACACCCTACCCGCTGTGCTATCGCTCCAGCCCCAGAATAGATTAAAAAATAAAAATAAAAACAAACCTTACAACCTTAACTATTAAAAACTTCACAACCTTAAAAAAAATTAAGGTTTTTTGGGGGGGCAGGCAGCAGGCTTCCTCCTGGCTGTGCTCGCAGGGCTCAGAGGACCACGTGGGGCTCAGGGTCTCCAACCAGGGCCTGCCATGAGTGAGGCATGTCCCTTTCCTACCCGTGTACTATAACTCTGGATATCAAAGACAGATCTCATTTCCCTTTTTATAAAAAAAAGAAGTTGGGTTACCGTCTCGCTGCTGACAGGTTCTCACACACCACACTCTGCCACCCCTCAACACCGCCTCCTCCTGCAGGGCCACCTCCCTGGCACAGAGGCTGCCCCTCCCTGACTGTCCCCCAACCCCTCAAGTGGGCTGCTTCCTCCAGAAGGCCTGTCCTCACGTTCTCTGTTTCCACTGAAAAGATAGTTTTCTTAAATGAACAAACTCTTTGAATGGTTCTTCAAAGATGACATAAATAAGCGCTGAAGTCGATGCCTGAAGACATTAGAAAATGCATTTTTTTTGTTTTGTTTTGTGCTGGGGCAGCACACCCATGGGCCTCAGGGAGCCAAGAGACAAAACCCCGATCTCCTGCACGCACTCAGTCTCTGGGCTGTTTCCCTGGGAAACAAAAGCCACAACACAGCCAGATGCTCCTTTATAACCACTAGAAAACTAGAATTAAAAAGACAGCCGATAGGAGCCAGAGTGATAGCCTAGCAGGTGGGGGCGCTTTCCTGGCATCAGGCCAACACGGGTTCCAAGCCCTACCTGGTCTCCTAAGCAACGCCAGGAATAAACCTCGGGCATTGCCAGGCGTGGCCCATATACGACAACCACAAAAAGACAATAAAAAGTGTTGAGGAGGAAAAAGCAAGACCACCTGATTCTGTGTTGGTAGGACTATAACACGGAGAAGACACTTTAAGGGAGGAAAAAAAGGCTGACATTCCCTGAAAGATTCTTTTGTTTTGTTTTGGGGCCGTATCCAGTGGTGCTCAGGGACCATTCCAGGGCTCAGGGGACCATACAGCATTCTGGGGATTGAACCCTGGATCAGCCACATGCAAGGCAAGTACCCTAACCACTATCTCTCCAGCCGAGCAATCCTACTTAGAGGTAAGTGAGACTTAAGAACAACTCACAGGCCTGGGATATAGCCCAGTTCCGCATACCCAAGGCCCTGGATTCAGTCCCTATAACCACACACACACACACACACACACACACACACACACACACACACACATATTCTGCACGTAAATATTCATTATTTATGAATAATGATAACGGATATAACAATGAGGCATTAATCATAATAGTAAGTGGAAGCAACTCAAAGGTCCATTAAGTGATAATCAGTTAATAAAATGTGGTATACATCCATTAAAAGGATCTTATTCGGCTACAGAAATATTGACATACATACCAATCTCTTCACCAGTGTCCACTGAACCTTGGCAACACTATACAAAGTGTTAAGAAGCAGGCACAACACGGAGAGGCCTCCGGACCCTGCACCAGGCTGTCTAATCCAAGGCAAGTGAGTCCCCCCTCCCCAATTCAGCCCCAACAGAGCCCCAGCAGACAAAACCCTCCAGAACTCGAATGTCACCACGCTCATGGCCGACTTCCACAGGCTTGGATGAGCCTGATCTATGAGTGAATCTGCTGAAAAACCCAGGCATGTGGAACTTGTGACCGAAATCTCCGGGCTCACACAGAACTGGGAATGGGCGACCTCCCCACATCTCCATGTGCTTCCGGTAGCCTGACAGTCACGCCCACGAACGCCAGATAAAGCTTGTTAACGGTCATGATCCAGAGACTCAGAAATAAAATCTCTCAGAAGAGAGCAACATGAGTGCCAAGCAGAGATGCCTTGGGACCCCAAAGTCACATCCAGTTTTAAAGAAAAACTTAATTAACCCCAGCTGTATCTCTGCATTTAACATTTTAGGGGCTGGAGCAATAGCACGGCAGGTAGGGCGTTTGCCTTGCACGCAGCTGACCCAGGTTCGATTCCCAGCATCCCATATGGTCCCCCGAGCACCGCCAGGAGAGATTCCTGAGTGCATGAACCAGGAATAACTCCTGTGCATTGCCAGTGTGACCCAAAATATCCAAAAAAATAAAATTTAAAATTTTAGAATTCCTGGAGCTCACGGCTGTGTAACATCCCAAACCCATACCACTGATGTACCAAGACAACGGTTTAATGGCTCCAGGATGAAATACAACAATCTTCACACACTTTTCTCTAATGACATTTTCTGGATGATTTTTAGCAGATTATAGCAGAATGGTAAGGTGTTTGCCTTGAGCGTGGCTGGCCCGGACGAGCCAAGTTTGATTCCTCTGCCCCTCTCAGAGAGCCTGGCAAGCTACCGAGAGTATCTCGCCCGCATGGCAAAGCCTGGCAAGCTCCCCGTGAGAGGTAGAAAGCTGACTGATGCCAGGGGCCGAGGGACTGGCTGGACTGACCCCGAATGAGCAGTGGTGATGCACAAAATACTAAAAAAAATTCAATCATGCACTTTAACTGAGTCTGCTGTATGTCGTGTAAATCAGATCTTCAATAATTTTCTTAAAAAGTGGCCAAAGGGGCTGGTGCGATAGCACAGCAGGTAGGGCGCTTGCCTTGCACGCGGCCGACCCGGGTTCGATCCCCAGCATCCCATATGGTCCCCTGAGCACCGCCAGGAGTGATTCCTGAGCGCAGAGCCAGGAGTAACCCCTGTGCATCACCGGGTGTGATCCAAAAAAGCAAAAAAAAAAAAAGCAAAAAGAAAAAGGGGGGGGCAGATTCAGAGCAATAGTATAGCAGGTAAGACTCTTGTGTTGCATGTAACCAATCCAGGTTCAATCCTGGCACCCCCTATGGACCCCAAGCACTGCCAGAGTGATCCCTAAGCACAGAGAGGAGGAAGCCTGGAGCACCACAAGGCATGGCTCAAAAACACGGATGCCAAAACTAAAAATATATATAAAGAAAAAAGAGAGGAAGGAAGAGGTTCCATAAACACACCTCCTACCTGCCTCCGTGCGCTAAATGAGGGCAGCAGACGCACCCAGGAAGCTCAGCCCACCCACCCCCACACAGGGGGCTGGTTTCACCCGTGGCAACTGCCTGATTACGGTCTGCTGGGGTGCAGATCTTTCCAGAGACAACCAGGAACCAGCACCACAAGTCTGCACCTTTCCCGGCAGACCACAGATGCAGCCACGCCCCTCAGGCCGCAGGAGGACAAGGAGGAGGAGGAGGAGGAGGAGGAGGAGGAGGAGGAGGAGGAAAAGGCGCCCAGCGAACTGACCTTGATGATCTCCTCATGCCCATCGTTGGACTCCACCAGTTCTGAAGCCAGAGAATGACCGGCTGAAAGGCTGGACACCATGGCATAGGTCTTCCTGCCCACCTGCAAGAGAGAAGAGAGGAAAGGACTCGTTCAGAAGTCACGGGACAAGCCCACAGCACCTGCGTCCCTCGGCCAATGCCAAGTCCGGCTCCCCCAAAACCTCAAGGCTGGGTGCCCCCCCCCCCTGCCGACACTCCCTCCAGAGCCGCGCCATCAGCCAGGAGCAGTGGCCCGGGGCCCACCCACACAGCCTGGGAAAACTGAGCCCAGAGAGATGACGCACGTCTGTCCCAATCCGGTCTCGACACAGGAGGGCCCGTTCCAGGGCCGACAGACCACACAGAGCCCTGCTCAGCCAGGCCACCCCAAGCGCAGGTCACAGAAAGCCCCATCCACGGACTCCCCGTCTCCCAGCCCGGAAGAAGGCTTTTTTGTACCTCCCACCCCAACTCAGAAGGCCGATGGGAGGCCTGCCAGGGCGTGTACAGGCGGAGCTCCGGGAACCAACCACCCAGGGCCCAGGGCCCCACCGCCACGCAGAATCAGCCGAATGAAAGCAGGCGAGATAATAGGCGTTTATCTAGGGATCAGACCAACTTCAAAGGCAGAGGTTTTCTTTTCTAAGTCCAAGAAGGTGAACAAGACACCCCTGCACTGGAGGATCAAGAGAAAAGCTCAAAAGGAAACACAAAAAGGGGCTGTGGAAGACTCGCCCGGCCTGGCACCCGGAAGGGATTTTCTCGTTTCACGGAAAGACAAAATGTGAAAATCAAGTGCATCAATAAAGAACGTTAAAGAATGAATGTGGGGCTGGAGCGATAGCACAGCGGGTAGGGCGTTTGCCTTGCACGCGGCCGACCCTGGTTCGATTCCCAGCATCCCAGATGGTCCCCTGAGCACCGCCAGGGGTAATTCCTGAGCGCAGAGCCAGGAGTGACCCCTGTGCATCGCCGGGTGTGACCCAAAAAGCAAAAAAAAAAAAAAGAAAAAGAAAAAGAAAAAAAGAATGAATGTAGCTGACCCTACTTACGAACACAGCTAACATTTTCTTTTCCACTCTTTTTCTCATACCAATCAATGGATTGTTGAGTATCTTATTGCTATTTTTCTCTTTTATTCTTTGACCATCACATTCCTTGTCTGACTACTTAGCTCTCTGTTGAATCACTTAACCACTTAACTCTTTATTGACCACTCGACCACCTGAATCTTTGTCTAACTACTTACACTTTAGTTCTTGTTTGGCTACCTTATTTTTGGTTTTTGTGTTAATCAATGCATTGTTTCGCTTACTGCTTTCTGGCTTCTATAAAGTTGCCTTTTTGCTTGGTGAAATTCCAGGACGTGGTTCAGCCCTTTGAAAAAACGAACCCTTGCTTTTCACTCTCAGGGCTGCCTCTCTTCTCCAGGGTGGGCTGGAGAGAGCAGCTGCTGGTCAGCTAATAAAGGCTCCTTGATTTAAGACCAAGTTCTGACTTTATGGAGCATTTTGGGGTGCCCGGACTATTAAAGGGACCAACTGGGGCTGGAGCTGCAGGGGGGGTCCCCCAAAGTCCACCAATAATCCAGGAGACGTGGAAAGGCAAAAGTAAGACTCATGGAGCCGTTGGCTGTACAGCAGATGGACCCTTGCCTTGCACACAGCTGACCCAGGTTCGGTCCCTGGCCTCCCATATGGTCCCCTGAGCCCACCAGGAGTGATCCTGAGCTCAGAGCCAGGAGTAAATCCTGAGCATCACCGGGTGTGCCCCCCACCCACACACACCCCAAAAAAAAGAAAAGAAAAGAAAAGAAAAAGAAGGCTCAGCTTCTCTGCATCTTTTAGTCCCACGTGAAAAATAAGAGGAGGCTGGGGCAGAGGGGGAACTCGCAGGACGGAGAGCATGCTTGGCGTGTGGCAGAACCGGTTTGGCCCCCTGCAAGTAGGGTACCCCAAGCAGGGCTGGAGTTGATACCCCCAAGCACTGAGTCCCCCACCAAGCATGGAGCTGAGCGCAACGAGGACCTAAACCAGCCAACTCAGGCCTGGGGAGTTCATTCAAGAACTGGAGCAGACGCCTGGCGTGTGGAGGCCCCAAGTGTGGTCCCGGCATTATGAGCCCTCCTGAGACCAGCGGATGTGCTCCGGGTGGACCTGGCACTGCTGCGCCCAAAAGTCCACATCCCAGGCCCTCAGCGCGGGGCACCATGTCTCTAGGAAGGCCCCAGGGTCCCTACACAGTCTTGGGGGGAGCACATGAAGAAATCATCTTTATTTTTTTGGTTTTGGGGCTATACCCGGCGATCTCAAGGGTTACTCCTGGCTCTGCATTCAAGCCTTTCTCCTGGCAGTAGAACCCAGGTCAGGGCAGGCGAGGCATTCGCCACTCACTGTACTATTGCTCCAGTCACAGAAAGATGATCTCAAATGCAAAGCTTCCCTCGCTCTTGGAATAAACCCTCATCTGGGAGGTGGAACAGCCATATCGCAGCCCTTCCCGGTCTTGGCGGCAAGGCTGAGCCCGGCAGTGCTCAGGGCCTACTCCTGGCTCTGTGCTCGGGAACTGCTCCCTGCCGAGTGGGCAGTCCCAGAGAGCCGTGAGCATCCCCCATGCACGCGTGTACTCCAACCCTGGGAACCATCTTCTGGCCTGAGAGCTGGTTTCAGGGGCTCACTTAACCCCTGTTCGTAATGGCCTGATGTTCAGGGGTCAACTAAGGCTGTCCAGAGTCGGGGTCAACTCCCTTCCCTCTCACTGGTCTGGTCTGGATTTATTTATTTATTTGCTTTTTGGGTCAGACCCAGTGATGCACAGAGGTTACTCCTGGCTCTGCACTCAGGAACTACTCCTGGCAGTGCTCAGGGGACCCTATGGGATGCTGGGGATCGAACCCGGGTCGGCTGCAGGCAAGGCAAACGCCCTCCCCGCTGTGCTATCGCTCCAGCCCCTGGTCTAGATTTTAAGCTCAGGGTTCCTGTCACTGCCTTCACACACACACACACACACACACACACACACACACACACACACACACACCGTGTCTTTTCCTTGGTCCCCTCCTGGCGGCTACAGCAGCGCCTCAGGAGCCCACGCTCCACGTCATATTTCCCAGGACACGTCCCTGCCTCAAGGAGGGACCCTCCAGTTCCCTCAGCATTACTTGGCCTGCGGGAGCAGGGGGAGGGGGGGAGGAGGGGCTGGACCCTCCGCTGACTTGTGACCCTTAGGGCTGCCAGAGCCACTCACGGCCTCAGTACCGGCAGCAGGTAGGTCCCGGAGGCTCAGGGGATGCTCCCTGATGCACAGGCCGAGAGAAATGTCAAGGGAAGAGCAAAAGGAATTTTGGGGGGAGGGACACCCGGTGGTGCTCAGGGCCTGCTTTGTACTCTGGGGTCACTCCTGGTGGTGTTCATAGGACAATATGGGGTGTTGGGGCAAACGCCCTCCCCACCATACTATGACTCTCCAGCACCGAGAAAGGATTCTTACATGGCAATAGCAGTGCCGGAGAAACGGTACCGCAGGAAAGGCACTTTCCCCGCACAAGCGGCTGCAGTTGTGCCCCAGGTTCGAATCCTTGGCCCCACAGAAGCATGCCCTGAGCACTGCCAGCGTCACTTCTGAGCACAGAGCCAGGAGCAGCCCCGAGCGCTGCAGGGTGTGGCCCCAGCCCTCGCCCTCCCCCAGAGCAGCTGGGACCCCTTTCTCCGGCACAGACACGCTCTCCAATCCCAGCGCCATCTCGGGGCTGGAGGCACGGCTGGGAAGTGCCGGTCTCCGCGTGCGAGACCTCAGGCTCCGTCCCCCGAGCTGCACACAAACAAAACCAGCATCTCCCACAAATCACTGCCTGGGCAGGGAAGGAGCCCCGGGGCCCCTCTCAGCCAGAAGTGGGGATGAACCAGTGATGATCACAGAGCTGACAGCAGGCCCGGCACGACTGACCCAGAGTTCTAAAGTGAAGAACACGGACCGTGGGTTGGGCCGAGTGTGGCTTTGCTATTCTAGGTATTCCCATTAGCAGAGCCCCAGATGGAGGCAAGGACAAAGGCAAGTCACAGTGTACTCCAGGGGCCCGAGCTGCAGCTCAGCAGGGAGGGCACTTACTTGCCTTACGTGGACTGGCCTGCGTTCCATCTCGGCATCCCATAGGGTCCACAGAGGCCCGCCAAGAGTGATTCCTGAACTGCACTCTTTTGTGGAGTATCAAACAACATAACATGAGGCTGACACCTACAGACAGTAGATACACGGGACAGGAAGATTGCGCCCTAGCTGGAAGCCTGCCCATGAGCAAAGGGGAGAAGGCAGCTGGAATAGAGAAGGGATCACTAAGGAAATGATGGCTTGGGGCTGGAGTGATAGCACAGCGGGTAGGGCGTTTGCCTTGCACGCTGCCGACCCGGGTCGACCTGGGTTTGATTCCCAACATCCCATATGGTCCCCTGAGCACCGCCAGGGGTAATTCCTGAGTGCAGAGACAGGAGTAACCCCTGTGCATCGCCAGGTGTGACCCAAAAAGCAAAAAAAAAAAAAAAAAAAAAAAAAGAAAATGATGGCTTGAGGAACCGGTCGGGATGGGAGATGTGTGCTGAAAGCAGATGAAGGACCAAACATGATAACCTCTCGGAGTCTGTATTGCAAACCATAATGTCCAAAAGTAGAGAGAGTGCTCACTTCGGCAGTACATATACTAAAATTGGAATGATACAGAGAAGATTAGCATGGCCCCTCCACAAGGATGACATGCAAAAACGTGACACATTCCATATTTTTTTTAACACCAAGAATAGCCGAGATTAGTACCAGGAATTTTGCTCCATGGCTTGGAGGCCAACCACACATGCTAGGGGAAAAGGGAGCTCAGATAGAGAAGGGAGCACCAAATAAAGGGTGTTGGGAGGATCCTCCCATCTAAGATGGGACATGCATGCTGAAAGTAGACTATAGACCAAACATGACTGTCACTCAATGCCTCTTTTGCAAACCACAACACCCAATAAGAGAGAGAGAAAACAAAAGGGAATACCCTGCCACAGAGGCAGGGTGGGATGGGGGGGTGGGGTGGGGCGTGGGAGG